CGCTGCGTGTGCTATCTGGCTGCCCTGGTTCATGCCTTTTAGAACCCGACGTTGACACTATGACAAAGATGATTTTGCACACACCCTGGTTGTTTACCCAACTCAACAGAGTGATAGGCGAGCACTTCTTACAGTACAATCAGCATTTCGCAGCTTTTTAAGACCCTGCTGTCTGCAGTGCCCACTGCTCATATTCATATGAAGGAAACTACACTATAAAGTACAGAAATAAGGTTTTGAGGAACGGCATTCACATATAATCCACAGTGTATGATAGCTGGTTTTCTGCAGAAGAGGTGAAAGCCAGCCACACTGCAGATTTAGGCAGCTTTTAGGGCACAACAGATCAGATGAGATTATCTCTCGCTGATCTCCTGTAAAGTAGACCGCGGATTCATTGATTCCTGCGCTGCCTGCCACAGCTCTGGATCCCCAGTCAAACATCACCCACAGAGAAAAGAAAGCACATGCGGCATGTCTACAGGGGGAACAAATCCTCATCAGGGATTTGAACTGTAAAAAAAAAAAAAAACAAAACACGGGGGAGAAATTGGCACCATTCATATGAACAACAAATCAGCTGAATGTGTCACGCTGCCGTCGGATCATGTTGGAAATCAAACCTGGACTTGTTCTGTCCTGTGTGAATATTTTCACTCTCCTTAATGGCAGCAGGGAGCTTATTCACCGCAGAGCCGTTTGCTTTGTTTAACGGATCTCAGATAACAGACAGCTTTAATAAGGCAGATGCATAAAACTGTCAGAGCACTCCATTTGGACACATTTCTTTTTACTCTAAATGCCACACAACATATAATATCAGGATTCTGTGCAAGAATAGCAAGCATGGGAAGAGGTTTTGTTTACGCATTATGCTGTGGTGCTGGAGACCATTTTGCACTGACATATTTTTCCAGAGGGTATGATCTCAGGAGCCTGACAGTGACCTAGTGACCAGACTTGGCTCTGGACACAGAAAGCATGCTCTGCTGCCCCTAATCTGTGCTGCTAGTGTCCCAGATGGGAGAGGCGTTGGTTGGGGGGTGGGCACCCACTGTATGCAGCCATCTAAGACGCCAAATACCTGCTGCGCACATTTAGGCAGTGCTAATCCTACTGTCCAGTTTAGAAGCTGTTGTAAACGGTAGACGCTCATTGCTGCATTACCACAGCAGTTTGGCTCCCTTGTTTCATCTGACCTACTTTCTTCCCCCCTACCCTCCCCTGTGCCTGATCTGGGGAGCAGGGAGGGGAGACCACCAGGCAGGAAGCAGAAGGCACCACAGCATAACAGCAGCCTCTGCTCACTGGAAGAGCACTTCATGCAAAGTCACATATAGCTCTCGGAGCTACACAGAATTCATTAATCATCAGCAGCCATAACACCAAAACTACTACATTCAGTTCTTATCTCATTTGGCTTAAAATGATGCAGCTTCCCTGATCACATCAAAACATAGCCACCACCACTGAGCCTGCAGAGACCACAGGCCTACAGAAGACACTGACAGCCTGTCATACAGAGCTTCAGCTTGCCTCCCTCTTGTCTGGTTTATCTTGCTGATAGGTTCAATAGCACAGTTATGGGAATTCAAAAGGCCATTGACCTACATTTCAACTACTCTTCTGATGTACACTGGAGTCCCTGGTATCTGCTGATCACAACAGACCTTTGGGAAAGCAACACTAACATAATCCATAATCTGGCTCAGATATAGCACAGTGTAACTGGTGTATCAAACCTGGAAGAGTTGCTAAAATATGTCAAAAATAAAAATACAACAGGCTGTACTGATTAATGTGTGCCATTTTATATAAATCCTTAATTTGTTTAGTTCAGGAGCTGACAGCAAACAGCCTGACGTGCCTAATATACTCCCACGTTACAAAGCGGCCAGTGCCTTCATCCCAGACTTCAGACATTAATGTGACCCCCTGTCTCTCATACCTGTCCTCTCTCAAAGTTTTCCTTCTCCAGCTCCAGGCTGTTGGCCCCTCCAGTCCGTCGGATCACTTTGGGGATAGCGTTGGGTACTTGCTGCATGGAGCTTTTCACTCGGTCCATTGTAGTCTGTGACAGAAAAACACACAGCAGCGAAAGAAAAAAAAAATACTTCAGCGTATAAACAAGCTAGACCGTTTAAAAGACACACGCACAAGCAGGACCAACTATGGCGGGCAGCAGTCCACGCCGTGCTGGACTCGTCGGCCCGTTCGCTGGACCATTTGTCCTTTCTGTGCAACACCCCAGTCAATGACAGGAGCAGCCTGAACGGCACCAGGGTAAAGTCAGCCACGGTTAGCGGAGGAGGTGACTTCCGCTTCCAAAATAAAGCCCCTAGTGATTTATGTGCTGCGTTACATAAATACCATGTAGCTAGTGCTTGAAAATAATGCAAAGTTTAACTATGCGTGCTTTAGTTACTTCAGCAACTTCTTTCTCGCCGAAATGCTTATATAACCTATATATCAATAGACAGCATTAGGCACAATTAGGCCTAGTAGTTAACTCACATAATAAGTTGCAGAGGACAGGTTATATTTTGCCATTGTCTTTTTTGTATTGATACATTTTATGTAAAATACAGCAGCATAAGAAGGTTTACAAACAAGGTAGCCAGAAGAGATGTGTGCAAATCAATGAGAGAAATTTACAGGCACTATTTGTCTATAAACTCAGCTCTGCACAGTGCATTGCTGCACAATACACGCAATCTCAGTAAAAGTGTATATGCACTCCATCCTCAGAGGAAACCCCTAAATAGTATGAGAAGAGTATAAGGACAATACTCAGCGTCATGCAGACATGCGTTGCTGTAATTTGGATATTTCCTCTGGTAACTTCTCTTTGGCTCCCCCCAGTGCCGTCAGCTCCAGCAGGGCCCGCCCACACCATCAGAAATACTCTGTGATTTTGGTTTTCTAGCCTTTTCCATCAAACTACACCAGCACTCTTATAATCTTATCAAACAGATATGACATACAAGTCTCTACAGGGATGTTGTCACCACTTCCGGCACTGGGTGATTAGGGCAACATCAGGCACAATAATGTTCAGTCTCTCATGAGTCACAGGATTGGGATGCTTGAAAATATGATATGGAAAATGTTAAAAAAATATATTTAATTTCATTAATTTTATTCAGGAGCTTCAACATGAGTGAATCATGGCACATGACCACAATCTGAGGTTGCTATATGTGGCCAGTCAAGCCAACAGAAATCCTTACAAGTCAGAATGCATTCTATCATGTCTTATATGCAGCATCACTTTTTATAAGCTCTGTGGGACATAAAACATTGAGTCAGATGCTCCTTGTCCTCTTATATGCTGCATCACTTTTTATAAGCTCTGTGGGACATAAAACATTGAGTCAGATGCTCCTTGTCCCGATCACTGCCAGAACAACTTGTCCAAGCAATGATAGACTTATCTGCTCAGTCTGAGTAGTGATACTGTACAGTATATCATAAAATACTAACTGCTAATTAGAAGAGCCTATCATGCTACGTTGCATTCCCTTTATCTCTCACCACACCATATTTTCATAAAGGGTTGTACCTGGGATCAGGTTTCATGGAGTGGCTGGGTAGCTGCTTGAAGAGTGCTGATCTGCTCTACTATTCTCTAGGGGATATAGGCAAGCAAAGGATTACTTCCTGTCAGTGATTATTTATATTGCAATAATAAATCAACATTGTAACAGACTGCCAACCTTTGCTCCCAGTCACTGAGGCATAGGAGGAGACTTTTTGAGTTGCATGACTCAAGGCTACCCTCTGCTGGTCAAACATGGGAACTAGTGTGGGCTACATTTAATCAAACCTTTGTCTACATACATACTATAGGTCTACAAAAAACTAAAAACAAACTATATCTTCATGTTCAGTCTATGATCACAATTAAACAAATACACAGACCATGGTAGAACCACAGATCCTTTAGTTAAGTAAAAGCACCAATGCCACAATGTAAAAGTACCGCCATTAAAAGTCTTAGATTTAAAATTCCCACTTAAGTAAAAGTACAGAAGTGGTTCCCAGCAGAGGTTCCAGCACACTCCAGAGAGTGACGATTGGTGGGGAAGGCAAAAGGAAAATATTAGATCTGCTTCACCAATCTGTTTTAGATTTTCTGGGTATTTTCTAATTTTGCATTTTTGTGAAAGATTGAAGAGTGCTACCTCTTGAACTGTTTAACAAAACCATTTGAGAGGTTTAGAAAATAAACTTCATTAGTGAAACTGTTAATAGGCAGACATCTGAAATGGTAAGAGGTCCCCAGTGTATTCAGGGACAAACCAAAAGGTTTGTGAACCACTGTTCATCTTTAACAATGTACTATAAGCTTTTATAAAATCTTTATCTGGAAAGTAACCAGAAACTACACAGGTCACATTTAGTTTAGTAAAAAAAAAAAGATAAAGAAACTACGGTGTTGCTGCACTGTAGTGGGGTAAAAGTACAGCAAACGCTACTTTCAGCCACTGTAAACATAAACTTCAACTTATCATGTCAATTCAAATGAACAAATGCGTAATGAAAAATAACAATAGCTACTCAATGCGTCAACCCTATCGTTACAGTAGCCTGCACTATGTACACACTGAGGGTGAAGCAAAAAAGTGACTATGAATTCTCGCGAGATTACCGATGCATCGGAGGACTAGGGCTTGGTCTTGAAGTTTTCAGATGCATCTGTAGATGAATCATAACAGCATCAAGATGTCGGGACGATCAGGCCGCGCTGAGACCCGAAGTCGAGCTAAAGATGACATTAAAAAGGTCCTGGCGGCCATCGAGAAAGTGCGGAAATGGTACGTAGGCTGACTGGGACGGACAATATGGAGGATAATGTATTAGAAGACCGTAGGGTGATATCTGACTGCACCGCTCAACAAACTTCAGTCGGAAAAGTTAGGAGATTGACGTGGCTGCTGACCAATCAATGCCCAGGTTTGACAATAGAGGCGGGGCTATTTCTTCCTCCGAGAGCTGTCAATATGGCTGCGGCCTCACATGCTGCCCGCTATTGTGTAGGCGACTGTCTTGTTAGTCACGTCACAGTGGAATTATTAAACACCCTTGGACCTATTCTCGTTTTTTTACATGCTCGTGTAACGTGCAATGGTTATATGTGGGCATAATAGGATATTTGATTAGCTCTCAAATCTAGTGGGGATAGAGCCTGTATACTGTATGTCATGCTACAGGTTAATGCTATTAAGCCAAATAATATTGTGCTACAGCTAAACTCAGCTAGTTTCTAAAATCAAACTAATTTTATTCCCAGGGAGAAGAAATGGGTGACAGTTGGGGACACATCTTTACGTATATACAAGTGGGTGCCAGTAACAGAAACCAAGCAGGTGGGGTCCTCTGTTATGTAAATATTCATTATTACTGTTTATTTATTTTTTGTCTCCCCTTGCTCTAGAATTTGACAACCTGCTTTCTGTTATCAGATTTATCGCACCAAATCCACAGGTGGAGAAGTTAGAGGACTGAAAGATGTGGTCTTGGAAAATACTAACTCTTTACTGGATTTCACTGGTGAGTCACTGGTGATCTTGCATCTTAATGTGTGCATAAATGACCAAACACAACATGTTGCAACAGTTGAAACTACATCTGATGTTCTGTACAACTTCTGTACAGATGAAAACAGCAACCAGAGCTTTCTGTCAGATATTTACCAGTCTAAAATGGATAACAGCAGCAGCACCTCCAGCTCGCAGCAGGTCAGCCCCCCACATACCTCCAGCCTTCGAAATGAAGACTCCCAGCCACCAATGCTCGGCCAGGAGAGTGTGGATGGTATGTGGATGGAACGCTCAAGAATCTTATTGCTTATTACATTATTGCTGTAATTTTGAAAAGCTACTCACAGTAGGTACAGAGCTAAACAATGAGCTAATTGTAGCCACAGCTCCAATTATAAACGAGCCAAACTAATAAACTAGGATCTGTTGGACTTGCAGTCATGGCCAAAAATATCGGCACCCCTGCGTTTCTATTAGATAATGCACCACTTCTCCCAGAAAATTGTTGCAATAACAAATTCTTTGGTATTCTCATGTTTATTTCTTTTGTTTGCATTGGAACAACAAAAAGCAGAGAAAACAAAGCCAAAACTGATACATTCCACACAGAACTCCAAAAATGGGCTGGACAGAATTATTGACACTCTCAACTTAATATTTGGTAGCACAACCTGAAATCAGTCACTTCCTGTAACCATCAGTGAGTTTCTTACATCTCTGTACTAGAATTTTGGACCACTCTTCTTTTGCCAGCTGCTCCAGGACTCTTCAGCTCATTGCCTGAAACAATTTCTGTGTGCTTTTTGAAGTCTGCTTTGTTCTGCTGTAACACCCATGACCTCTGATGGAGACAAAACCTTCTGACACTGGGCCTTACACTGCACCCCAGAATCTGTTGGTAGTCTTCAGATTTCATAATGCTGTATACACAGTGTAGACATCAATGCCTGAAGCAGCAAAGCAGCCCCAAAACATCAGTGAACCTCCACCGCCCCAAAACATCAGTGAACCTCCACCGTTTTTAACTGTAGGGATCATGTTCTTTTCTTTGAAGGCTTCATTTTGTTTTCTGAAAACGGTAGAATCATGTGTTTACCGAAAAACTCTATTTTAGTCTCATCTGTCCACAGGATATTCTCCCGGAAGGACTGTGGCTTCCTCTGGTAAAGTTAGGCAAACTCCAATCAGGCTTTTTTATGTTTCTGTGCCAACAGTGGGGTCCCCCTGGGTCTCCTACCATAGCGTCCCTTGTCATTCAGATGGCGATGGACAGTGTGAGCTGACATTGTTGTACCCTGTGCCTGCAGGTCAGCTTGAATTTGTTTGGAAGTTGATTGAGGTCCTTTATCCACCTCCATTTCAATCTGTCATCTGTTTTTCTCCTTCGTCCACGTCCACGACAATGTTGCGCACAGCAAACACAGGAACAACCAGATCTCTGGAGATGGACTTGTAGCCATGAGACTGTCCATGCTTTTCCACTATTGTGGTGTTCAAACCCTGAGACAGTCTTTGCTCTTCTTTCTTTTCTCCGTGCTCAGTATGGTCCACGTGACACAAAGGTCGAGTCAACTTTTCTCCACTTTAACTGGTTGCAAGTGTGATTTCTATATCGCCAACACCTTTTGGTTGCTACAAGTCAGTTTCATTACAAATTAAAGGAGCATCACATGCTGGAAATACAACTATTTCTGATGATTTTGAAAAGGTGTCAATAATTCTGTCCAGTCCATTTTTGGAGTTCTGTGTAGAATGTATAAAATTTGGTTTTGTTTTCTCTGCTTTTTGTGTTGTTTCAATGCAAACAAAAGAAATAAACATGAGAGTACCAAAGAATTTGTTATTTTAACAATTTTCTGGGAGAAGTGGTGCATTATCTGACAGAAATGCAGGGTGCCGATATTTTTGGCCATGACTGTATACATGGGTGTTGACCCTCAATTCTTTGTATTGGAATGGTAGCAACAGTAAGTATCAATAACAACAAACAAATTACATATCTTAATGAAAATGCTTAGTTATGTGCTTTATTGTCTCTCTATCTGTTCACTATCAAAGCTGAATTAATGGGGATATAAATTAACTCCTTGTGAATGCAGAGCCAGTTCATTTGGGACAGGAAGGGGCCGATGAGCCTCCTACTCTCATCAAAGAGGACCTTCTTTCATCAGGGGCTGTTAGACGGAGCACTCCAGACACACAGGTTCAGTTATGAAAATAGGTTCAAAGAATAAAACATTTTCCTTGATTAATTAAGAATTGAAATCATATTTCTGTGGTCAGTTGCATAATGTAAAATTAAAGTTAACTTAAACTCGAATTGTTTCTAGCTGTGCTAGAATTTCTATAACTTATTTACAATGTTCCTTTTTATTCTGCAGGAGGAACTGGATGAAACAGGAGCACCTCCTTTAAAGAAGATTTGCACAGGAGAAAATACTGTACTGAGATAGTTTATTTATATTAGTTTTGTCAAAATGTCCTAAGTTGTTGTTAGATTAGCTAAGCTTTCAAAATTATTCAAAGGTTCTTGACAATGACACAAATATGATCCATTGCATTTCAGCAAATCACAATTTTTGCAAAGTCTGGGTTCACTTTTGAAGGTCTTTGAAGTCTTGCTATTTTAAGTGATTTCTGACATGAAGGGAAACAATTTTCCAAACCTTCTGTGGCAATTTACTGTTGTAGGCAGCAGTGTGTTATACACTTTGTATGCTTTAAATGTCAAAATGGCAACTGTTTCCAATTTACTCTTTATGCATTTGAAATTTACTTATGCATGTTTTCTTATCCTGTTGCTTTATTTTTTAGGTTTACAGGCCATTTTGAAAACGTGTTAAATGTGTAGCTTTATGCAGATCGATGTTTAGATGTGCTGTTATGTATTAAACATGATGCCTTTTCTGGATCTTATTTTAGCTTTTGGCTCATGTCTAAAAATAGATGCCTTTTTATTTATAATTTGCCCTTGTTTATAACAGTTACTGAAGACGTTTTGTAAACCATAATAAATGAGAAAGTTCATTGAGTAAATACTGAAGAAGGCTTCATGCTGAAACACGTCAGTCCATTGTAAATAAATTCATCTTTATGATTGATACATAAGGTGATTTTTTTATGTGTGCTTTTTTATGGAGTGCTGCTTTTCCATTTCAATTTTTTTTTTGGTGCTGCCAGGATGGTAATTATTTAAACAGCTACTCTTCTGTATTATTAAGGCACGGCCACAAAGGGTAACCTATTGTTCAATCAGACCAGTGGGAAATGGAGTGGCGGAAATTGTTTTAGAAATTAATTTAATGATTCACAGGGGTGTTCAATTTCGCGTCTGTTTTTGATAAATATATAAACAAAATATTTAAGCCCGTTTTAGTTTTAATGGGTTAAACGATTCATATAGTCGTTATTATGGTCAGCTGACCTCTAGTGTCTCAATTTAAATGGGGCGTAGTTTAGTTGAAGGGGCTGTCCTAGGCTGACAATAGACAGGTCATACCAGCCAATCAGAGACTGAGTCAGACCAATTCGACGCGAGCGCTTCACTAATCGAGCCAATAAACATCATTAGAAGGCGGAGCTTTTATGAGACGCCTCTTGCTACCGGGGGAACGGAGCTCTGAGGTTGTGCGGAGTCTTGCCGGTGGACTAGAAACTCCCGCCATTTCGAAAAGGAATTAACCTCTTGATTGAGTCAGGTTACATTTTTCGTAATACTTGATAACGCTGTTATATCATAGAAAGAGGCTCAGAGAATACGAAGATGCAGCGAAGTCAGTTGATTAAACGACAACAGGCCTAGTTTGCAAAGATTTGGGATTGTGCAGCGCGCCAGACCTCCTGCCTATCTGAGCTTTGGCTGTTGCCGCGAATTTGATTTTCGGTGTGGGTAGCATCCTTTCATGTTTATCCGGAGGAGCTACAAGTTTACCAGCTATCCTGAAAGATAGAAAGTCGAGCAACCCGTTTCTACATCTAAGACATTGAGTAAAACCAGCACGACACCACTAACATTACAAGAAGAGAAAAGAAGGGTGCGATGAGGCGGCTGACAAGAAGTGCACTGTTATTGTTTTGTAACGAGATAGCAGTACAGCCTACCTGCTAGTCAGCTAGCTGCTACACGTTGAGTGCCGGGCCTGCCGGCAGTAACGCGGCGCGTGTTGGAATATTTCGAGACATTTGGATACATGTTAAGAACACTTTGTTGTATGTTATTGTATTAGTTTGTCGCTAGAAGATCTAATCTCGCCATTGGCATCCGTGCCATCTGAGGATTGATAATGGCACCGCTTTTGGGCCGGAAACCTTATCCACTTGCTAAGCCGCTAGCCGAGCCACCAGGCCCGGGAGAGGAGGTCTACATCATCGAGCACACCAAGGAGGCCTTCAGGAACAAAGAGTATCCTTTTATCATGATACTGATTCTCAGTCTCGACTTGTCGAGCCAGCCGGAATGTAATATCACGCTCTTTGTCTAGCTGGCTAAAATTATGTTCATTTAGTAACTACATGCACATGACTAAATCTGGCCAACAGACATGATTTGACGTTACCTGACATTTTACCTTCATTTGGGGTTTAGCTGCATGTTTACACTGGATGACAGGCTTGCTAGTTGGTATTCACACCGCTTTGCTAATCAACACATTGTAGCTAGGTGGTTATTTAATTAAGCTACATGAAGATAACGTTGTGTGACTATAGCATATGGCGCAGTTCTTATGGTTAATTTAGAGAGCTACTATAAACAATCCTTTCACTTCAGGTATTACGGCCCCGTTGTCGGCTACTAATGCTAGCATGGCTAGCTAGCATGCTACTACTGTCAGATATCTGACAATAGCCCGTCATCTTCTTCCCCGAGCTGGAGCCATAGCTCGGCCGGATTGAGCTAGCCGTTAACGCTAGCATTCAAGCCTCTCTAGCGTTAGTTAGCTTTAGCTACCGGTGCATTTGTGCTTTGGAGTTTACAAAGAGGACAAAAGCCGACTAACAACTATTCACCGATTTTAAACTGGCGTTTTTGGTAGATATATTTGTCCCGGTGTAATAGTTAAAGTAACCTTCTAGCTTAGATGTTTATAAAAACTTAAAACGTCAGAGTTTCGTAACTGTCAACTGGATTATGAAGCCACTTGTGACAAATGACAACTCGTCACGTAGTGCTAAAAGTAGTCATTTTTATGTGTCTAACTTGTTATGCGGTGTATTATGTTTGGATTTCTGCTGAGAGAAACATTAAGTATTTAATTCGATTAACTTATCACTACTTGAAAAACGGCTATGTGAAAATGGTTTCTTGTCTATATTTGTATCGCCAGAACACTGAGATTTTTGCCTTTACTGTAGGGGTGTTCATAATCATTGGAGGTAGCACAGATTTAATTATTCCCACCAACTACTCAGGGAGTAGTAATTCACACAGAATTTCTGCTAGTTTGAGGTAGTCAGGACTCTTTTCCAGCTACGCCTATGATCATTATTCTTTCCCAGCCCCTCCAACCTCTTTTTGTGTTCCTAAAGTATAACCAGTTTTGCAGTATTGAGTTTTGCTATGAAATTGCATCTCGGTGTGTTCATTACCCCTTGGTCTCAGACTCTTTTAAACAACTGACATCTGACAGAAATTTGGTCACTGATGGACCACATCTTGCTTTTAAGTAGTGAGTAAATGGCTAAAGGGGATACTGTTTATATTGTCATTTCCTTGACAAAATGTCTACAGAGAGTATGAGGCACGCCTGCAGAGGTATAATGAGCGCATCTGGACATGCAAGAGCACTGGAAGCAACCAGCTGACGCACAAAGAGGCATGGGAGGAGGAGCAAGAAGTCACAGAATTGTTAGTGTTACATCCAAAGTTGTATACGCAAGTTCACAGTCCGACACAATTAGTGAAATTAAAGATCGTCCACATCTTATACACATTCAGATGTTAAATAAAGCTCTGGTTCCCATAAATCTCTGAATATGTAAACACCTTCTGGTTATTTAGACATGCTTTCAAGAAAATACAGGTTAATGTCTCTATAGCAGAAGCTCAGCAGTCTCAGGAAAGAACCATACTCTCCCATTGAAGGTCACAAGGCTCATTGCTTTGCTATGATTGGATAAATCTGTAGCTCCTCCTCTCCTTCTATTTAGAGGTGTGTAATTGAGTCATCCTGGAATCTGCAATGGCAGGGTGAGAGTTCCCTTATCCTGATCTACAAAAGAGAAGAACATGACCAGAAAAGTTTAAAAAAAAAAAAAAAAATCCAAATGAGAGCTTTCAGCTTACTCATCTCCAATCAGGTGTATGTATTAATGCACTTAGCAAGAAGAAGATGACCTGATTTAGAGATGCACAGCAGAGGAAAGGCAGAGTGGTGCTCAGCTTCCCACAGCTCCAGTCACAGAGGATCACAAGCTGTATTTAAGCTCTAATTACATCAGCCAAGTGACTTTGCTCCCTCTGCTGGCCACTCTCAAACCCTTTGTTCTGTTATGTAATGTTCTGGTTCCTGTGAGGAATGTATCACAGAGATCCATATAATGTGAAAGAAAGCCAGCCATGAATGGAGCGCATCCCACCCATGAAGCATTTCAGTATATATTAGACATGGCAGGAGTCTTGGTTGCTAAACTTGTTCTGAAATTCTGTCTGGATGTTAAAACAGTGTACTGAATTAAGTGGAGCATAAAATGATGGGGATGTGAGGAACAAACAACTGTTGATTATGTTTTATTTTCATTTTACTGTTGCAGCTTTTTTGTTTTAATTACTGCTCATGCTCTGTGTACAGGCTTCAGGAGGAGTATCCCCAGTGGTTTGAGAAGCCGGTCCTGGAGATGGTCCACCACAACACAGTGTCTTTAGACAAACTGGTTGAAATGGCCTGGGTGGAAATCCTCACCAAGTATGCTGTGGGTGAAGAGTGTGACTTCATGGTCAGTTTGACTTCTTACATTTTTAAACCTGTGGTAGGCGGACTTATGTCTGTTATTTTAGTTCGCTATGCCGCTTTAAACATAATCTTTGGAGGACCATACAATTTTTCTTCTTATTTTTTAACTTGACAACAGATTATACATACTTGTAAGTTATCACTGTCCATTTACAAAAGCACAGGTTTTTAGATTGATGGTCTTTCTAATTGGCAGCCGTTTGCTTTCACTTCCTGTCACAATGTCACCCAACGTGCTGGTTGGCTGGACTACATTAAGCCGGTGTTTAATTGAAAGCTTTCCTATTAGTATCTTCTACAGTGCTCTAATTCCTCTCTTTCAGGTGAGAAAGGACAAAAGTCTGCGAGTGAAGGTGGTGAAGATTCACCCCCTAGAAACCCTAGAGGGCGAGACGGGGGAGAAGAAGCTTGAAGGTGCCTGTGACTCTCCATCCAGCGACAAGGAAAACACAAGTCAGGAGAACCAGAGGAAAGAGCCTCCTCCCCGAGAGGATGAGAACAGGAGGGAGAGTCTCAGTGAGTACCAATCAGTGCATAAACAGAACCGTACCAAGGGACATAGCCTGGAGTTCTAGGCTTGAATAATAAATAATTTTATAAAATAATTAGCCGAAATGCATGTCGTGCATTGAAAGCCTAATTTTACATTTTAACCATATGTTTTTCAGATCTCTTCTTCAAAATCTTTATTCTTTGGTCATCACACAAAATGGACGGTGTGCGGATTTGATTTAAGTTTTCAGTTAACCTTGTTTTGGGACTATGCACCTGTTGCTAATTTAGATAAAGGACACAGTAATGGTGCAACAGTATGGCTACTGAGGCTGTATGTTTTTTTTTTTTTTGTTAGTTAGTTTTTTTTAAACAATATTTTGCTTCCCATCAGGTGACAGAGCACGACGTTCTCCAAGGAAACTTCCCACTGCCGTGAAGGAAGAGAAGAAGAAATGGGTTATGCCCAAATTCCTTCCTCATAAGTACGATGTGAAGCTCATTAATGAGGATAAGGTTTGTATCATGTCATCACTAGTCACCCGATGGTGTCTAGATTTCTTTTTCTTGTTCGTCCCAAAATTGAATTGCATGTGTATTTTCTGCGCTACAGCTGATAACAGCTTATTGTTATTTTTGTCTCTTAACTGGTTTCTCAGTTAAGGTCTACACACACCTTTCCATTTTGAAAGAAAGTGACTGATTATTTTGAACTGACTTCTGTTGCAGGTGATCAGTGATGTCCCAGCAGATAGTCTTTTCAGAACCGAGCGCCCTCCAACCAAGGAGATCATGCGCTATTTCATCAGACACTATGCTCTGAGGCTAGGTATGGGAGAGAGTGCTCCCTGGGTGGTTGAAGATGAGCTGGTGAAAAAGTTTAACTTGCCTAGCAAGTTCAGTGACTTTCTTCTTGATCCACACAAGGTAATTTGTATGGTACATTTTTGCATATTACTTTGTTCAAATTGTTGCTTGTTCCTAGCTCACACTCTGTTTGTCTAAAGTTTTTAGCAGAGAATCCCTCCTCAAAGCGCAAGAGCTTGTCATCTCCTGAGGGTAAACCTAGCAAGAGAAGTAAGACTGCTGACACTCCAGGAGCAGATTCGGGAAATGAAAAGGGAGAGAAGAAAAAGAAAAAGAAGAAAGATGCTTTAGGCATGCCTCTTAGTCCCACCATCTGGGGCCACGTGCAGGTTGGCTGGCCTGTATGCACATGCTCATGTCTCAGCTAAGATATTACTTGATGAGTTGTGGGGTTTCTTAAAAGTCAAATCTTTGCTTAATGCACTCATGTTTTCTGTATTTCAGAAAATAAAAATGAATGGTTCTCCACTCAAGGTAAAGAACTCAGGAACCCCTAAGAAAGGAGAAGGCAAAGGTTCAGTGCCCTCCACGCCAAAATCGGGTCGAAAGTCTGGAGACAAGAAAGAAGGAAAGAAAACGGGGAACAGCAGTGATAAGAAACTTAATGTGCTCAAAGCTTCTAAAAAGGACACTAAACATGGTGTTAAGACACCAAAGATGAAGCAGATGACTCTGCTACATCTGGCTAAGAGCACCCCTGCTGGGAGCCCTAAGAAGCGAGCCCGGAGTAGTGGCGTGGGTACGCCTAAACTGGGGAAGCCACTGCACCCTATGGCTCTCCACCTTCTTCGTTACTATAAGGAGAACAAGGGTAAAGAGGACAAAAAGAACTCCCTCTCCTCGCTGATTTCCAAGGCTGCTAAAACCTTGTCCCCAGATGATCGCAGCCGCCTGCCGGAGGAGCTCAGGGAGCTGGTGCAGAAACGTTGGGAGCTTCTGGAACAAAAGAAACGGTGGGCAGCCATGAGTGAAGAGGAAAAGCAGGAAGAGATGAAGAGGAGGCGCCAGGAACTCAAAGAGAAACTACGAGAAAAAGCCAAGGAGAGACGTGAGAAGGAGATGCTGGTCAGGCGCGAACAGTCACGTAGATACGAGGACCAGGAGATTGAAGGCGGCAAGATGCTGCCTACATTCAAGCTTGTAGACATGCCTGAAGGCTTGCCCAACACCCTGTTTGGTGATGTGGCCATGGTTGTGGATTTCCTACACTGCTATGCAGGGCTGCTGATGCCGGAGGACCAGTATCCCATCACAGCAGTGGCTCTGATGGAAGCACTGGCTGGGGAACGGTCAGGCTTCCTCTACTTAAACCGTGTGTTGGTAGTGCTGCTCCAGACGCTGCTGCAGGATGAACTGGCAGAAGGGTACAATGAGCTCGATATGCCCTTATCTGAGATCCCCTTAACCATGCACTCCGCTTCAGAGCTGGCACGGTTGTGTCTGCGTCCATGTGACGTTCATGGCGAGGAGAGTGGCCAGGGCTCAGATGACTCGGGGCCCATGGGGGGCTTTGACGATGTGGTGACCAGTGAGTTCCTGGAGAAGCTTGAAACAGTTGAGGTGTTTGAGCTGAGCCCTGAGGAGAAGGTCAACCTGCTGGTGGCACTGTGCCATCGCATCCTCATGACCTACTCGGTGGAGGACCACGTTGATGCAATGCACCAGCGGTCAGCTGAGCTATGGAAGGAGCGCTTGGCAATGCTGAAAGAGGTCAATGATCGCAAGAAGGCTGAGAAGAAGAAGCAAAAGGAGATGGAGAGCAAAGGTAGGCGAGGAACTTTACCTGAAGTTGTAATTTAGCAGCGAATCAAATCATTGTCATAAGATTTAATGCTGCAATTTCCACTTCCTTCTCATTTGACAGCATTAAAAAGATTAATACCCACAGAATATCTAAACTAGTTCAATTATAAATTTAATGTGAATATGTTTTGACAACTATGCATCCTATAAAGGGCAAAGAAAGAACTATCTCAGAAATGTAAATACATATACAAGTTTATCAGTGTATTTATTTATTTTTCTGGGTTCAAAGGTGAGAAGAAAAAGGAGGGGGGCGCTAAGAAGGAGAACAAAAAAGAAGTAAAGGTGGAGCCGGAGCCAGAGGACATGATTAGCTCAGTGAAGAGCCGGCGGCTGATGGCCATGCAGGCCAAGAAGGAGAAGGAGGAGATGGACAGACAGAACAAAGGTAAACCCTGTAGCAGGGTGTGGAGCAGCTCAAATAATATACAATATTTTTTAATTAAAAAAAAGGTAATTGTTTCCTGGCAAGTGTAATTCTACATGTATGATCCTGTGACACGTCAATTGTGATTTTATTCTATTACGAAGTAGTTTCTGCTGTGTGTGTGTCACTAAAAGCAAAGCCAGACAGATTATCATTAAATACATGGCAGTGTTTTAGGCAGTATACCTCACTCTTGGTTGTTAACTGTGTTTATCACCCCAGAACGCATGGAGAAGGAGGCTGAAGAGGAACGACTGCGTAAGCAGAGGGTTGCTGCAGAGAGGGCCTTCCAGGACGGAATAACCAAAGCCAAACTTGTCATGCGCAGGACCCCACTGGGTACAGACAGAAATCATAACAGGTTGGTGCTGCACACAAATGGTTAAAAATTAAGTGCACAATAAATATAAAATCTTAATTAATGCCATTATTTATAACCATGGGCGCTTGGTGTTTTTGTTCAGATACTGGCTGTTCTCTGACGTGGTTCCTGGTCTGTACATTGAGAAAGGCTGGGTGCCTGAAAGCATCGACTACAGTTTCAGCCCTTTACCTGAGGACAAACCAGCTGAGCCTGAGATGGAGGAGGATGATAGTGAGTCGGCCACGACACACGATTCACAAGGTGCTACAATATCTGTTATTATTCTCAAAATGTTTACATTATAGAAATCTTTGAGGGAGAGAGAGAGATGTTTTTGTATCCACTATATGTGTATAGTCTTTTGTATGTATTGTACAGAAGTTGTTTTTTTTTAATTTTTTGAGATTGCTTATTGTTTGTGTTGTAGGAGCTGAAAAGGATGATGGTAGCATAGATGGTGTTATTAGTGAAGGAGCCCAGCAGGGAGCAGCAGCAGACGTCTGTATAGAAACTACTGTTCCCAAAGTGGGACAGAACCTCTGGTATGAGCTTTGCTTTTCTTTGTTTGTTTTTATTCCTTTGCTGTGTTGTCTTTTCTGTTTCATTTTCAGAATCCTTTTTTTTTTGCGTTTGAATACAGGTTCATATGTGACAGCCTGGCTGAACTGGAGGAGCTGGTGGAAAGTCTTCATCCTCAGGGGGTTAGAGAGAGTCAACTGAAGGTGAAGATTCAAAGCAGGTGAATGCACTTTTATAATAAGAGAGTTGCTTTAACAAACATTGGTAACACCTGGCCTGGTACTTCCAGGTAACAGGAGTATGTTGGCGTAAGGTTACACGGTGTAACGGCACCATGTCCTATGTGGACTGTATCATTTGCAGCTAAATGCAGTGACAGTGATTAAGTAAATGTGTAGGTGAATTCAAAGCCATCCATTTCCTGTTTCAGGTACCCAGACATCCTCCACTCCATCCATCTCACCCGTAAGGCCAAAATGGGCCTCAGGACCTGTGATGGCTACACAGAGTTGCTCAAATACTTGCGCAGTGACATCCAGGAAATAGCCTCACGACTCCAGAAGGGAGGCCTGGGATACCTGGACGATAACGTAGATATGGAAGAGCAGGTGATTGTCTGTCTGATTTATAAATAACATCAATATTCTTCTTATTGATTTTTATTGGTAATTCAGAACTGTTTTGTTTCTTCTATACACAGATGAAAGACATGGACAGCCTGAAAGACTTTGGCGAGTGCATCATCACCATTCAGGCTTGTGTAATCAAAAAGTTCCTGCAGGGGTTCATGGCCCCCAGACAGAAAAAGAAGAAAAGGCAGGGAGGGGAAGAAAGCAGCAAGACCGAAGAGGTGGATGATGAGAAGAGACTGGCAGAGGAGGCCAGGGTAAGAGAACAGAGGTGCAATATTTCCATTTGGTTTTAAGTGTGTCGTTCTCAGGGAACAAGGTCCATCAGAAACTGATTAGATGTTGCTGGAATAGGTGAAAAAGTTAAGTGGAAGGGTTTGGGACGTTATTAATGCCATAATTCTAAGAACCTATAATAATGAAAGCACTAGTAAAGGAGTTGAAGTTTATAAGTGATGAACACACAACAAAATAAATAAGTTGACACACATACAGACAGCGCTACCACTGTTGCTGCTCAAGTTGAAACATTTTATACCTTTCAGGTAGCGACAGCGGTAGAGAAGTGGAAGACGGCTATCCGAGAGGCTCAGACCTTTTCCCGCATGCACGTCTTGCTAGGAATGTTGGATGCTTGCATAAAGTGGGACATGTCTGCTGAGAATGCTCGCTGCAAAGTCTGCCGCAGGAAAGGTGAGCACTGTCTTCAGCTGCTGTCTTACTGATAAGTCTTCAAATCAGAGAATTAAAGTAAATGTGTGTTGCAAGCTATTTTTGTAACTGATGAAATTGTCTTTATTTACAAATGACAGTTTCTGTTATCAGGTGACATTCTCTGTTCAGCCACATCAGAGACTTCAGCAGAATTAGAGCCCCAGAGCCAACACCTGTCAGACAAAAATACGGATCCTCCTTTTAGTTTTTTCTTCAATGACATGCATGCATGCAAGGATGGTTAATCATGGTCATTGAAGCAGTGCTTCTGCTCCCTGTTTAGTGCTCAGGCAAAGCCCCTCTGTGCTGAAGCTGACGGAGTGTAGACCCAGACAGGGCAGCAGCAGCAGGCACAAAGCAGAACAGGCTAGTAGTGTCAGGCAGGTCTACCTACAGAGCCAGCAGCTCCACAGGCCAGCAGGTGAACCTGTAGTGATAAGGACACATGAGGGAAAACGTGACAGTTTAACTTTTTCAAGATAAAAAAAAAAGTAAGACAAGATGAACCGACGTGGGCATACTGAACATATTTATTGGTTTAAAAAAAAAAAACAACCTAACTTTTCTTTAGCTCAGTCTTACTATTTATTTGGATCACTTCCAGGCGACGATGAGAAACTGATCCTCTGTGACGAGTGCAACAAGGCCTTCCACCTGTTCTGTCTGCGGCCGGCCCTGTACCGCATCCCTGCCGGAGAGTGGCTGTGCCGCAAGGTAACGGTTTGCTGATGGTCCTGTTATACAGGACCTGTTTTTTAGGGCCCCCCCCCCCCAAGCACACCAGTTTATTACACTCCTTCGCCAGGGCCAAGCAACCTATTATCAGCAGTGTGATTTTTAAAAACAAGAGCTGACTGTGCACACTGACACCAGAGTTCAAGTGTCAACACTAAAACCTGCCTCCTGACTGACCGTATTCTGTCTTGGTGAGTTGTATTATGGTCTTCTTAATGGCATTCTCCCTGTTGCAGGAACTATAACCAAGACACAGATGAGGAAGAGTCTGAGGAGGAATCTGAAGAGGAAGAGACTGAGGAGGATGAAGAGGATGAGGAAGAAAATGACTACAAAGCCATGGGGCACAGCTGTGAGTATCAGCAGTATCATGATGAGGGCCTTAACCAGGACTAGCTGTCTATCACACATGTCCCTGCATACATCAGGATGATAAATATGGCCAAACATTCCTGCCTTTCCTTGTCATCACTCATGTCATAAAAACCATGGCACTAAATGCAAATACAGCAGATGAAAACAAACTATACAAAGAGATAAGTCTGATTTTTACAACCTGAAATTTAGGGATGAGAGGAATGCTGATGGTGGAATTTCAGCCTCTGTCTGTATTGTCTGTGTGTTGGCATGCAGCACAGTTCAGGTCTGGACTTTCCTTTGAAGCCATGTCTCATTCTAGCTTCACTCAAAGTATGTGACAGGATGATCCCCTCTGTCAGTTCAGGCCAAGAAGTTTAATGCATTGGCACTGAATGGTACCGTGAGGATCGCAGTGCTATTAAGTGCTAATTATTTTTCTCAGTTCTAGTGTTGGGATGTGTGACACTCCGCTGAGACTCTGGTGTTCAGTACGTCTACGGTGGCCTGGGATTGATTTGGCCAAAGCATCAACAGCATAACTAACAGTGAAGCATTAATGTGATATTTTAGATTTCGAGTGGAATGGAAGCATATCCATGAAGTAAATTCCTTTATTTATTTACTTGAACACTATTATTTTACAGTGAGACCAAGGAAGAAAAATAAGCAGTCTTCATCTCAGCAGAAAAGCTCAAAAAATAAGTCCAAGAAGCAGTCGTCATCTTGTGGTCAGAGTAGCAAGCAAAGGGCCGGACCCAACTGTCCTGCAGACATCGATGAACTGGTAAGAAACCAGCACCAGGACATTCACATGTTAAAGATATGTTTGTTTCTTCAAGGGTTGAAGAATGTACTTAAAGCAGGAAACATAAGGGCAGGAGTTCTATAGGAATCTATATTTCACAAACTAATAGACGTGATCAAAGCTTTCAGTGAGAAAACAGACAATCGATTTTGTGTTATCATTGCATGTGTGTGGTATCTGCAGGTGCGTCAGAGTTCCCAGTCAGGAGGGCGCAGGCAGGTGCTGGAGCTAGAGAGGTGCGAGGAAATCCTGAAAAAACTGGTCCGGTTTCGCTCCAGTTGGCCCTTCAGGTGAGTCAGTAACATAGTCTGCATGTTTTGAATGTCCAGTCAGCGTTCAGTGTAATGAGTACATACCATACAGGGCCCACACAACAGGTGCAGCTTATATTAACTGTAATAATTGAATTGTGCAGCTTCTGCACAATTTATACTTCCTTCCTAAGCTGTCATCTTTCTTTACTGGGCTCTACCAGTTAAATCTTTCAGTTTATTCACAGTTAGTTTGGGTTGGGGTCATGATTGGTTGAACTGCTAATCCTGGCAGAGGAGAGAGCATTTGTGCCTGAGATAAAGGCACATTTGATCAAATTGTTTTTATTCAGGTCACATACAATGGAATAATTTTTTTGTTTGTATCATATTTCTTGCATTGGTAGAGGTCCAAAATGATCTTTTAGGGGTGGCAGGTTATAGTGTATCACTACTTAATCATCTTGATACACAATATCATAGCTATATCAGTAATGTACTGTATACTGAGATTTATAAACATTAAGATACTGAAATGAAACATAAAATATGTTGCTATATAAGTGAAGACAGCCTGTATCCAAGCTGATGTGTCTGTCCAGAATCTGCTACAAGTGTCAGGCTTGTAGTCCTGCCTGCAGAAGAAGAACTGCAGCTGCTGCTGTTATGGATGACGTAATTACTTAGTGAACAGCAAAACGCACAGCTGCAGTGGATGACCTGTTTCTTCCTGACAAAACATATGTCTCGAATCTTTTAAAAATACTGCCCCAAAGTTTATAGGGCATTTACATCAACACATCCCACTACCTGAATGACATCATGAATTATCAGTGGTCTTTAATCCAACTCATGCTCTGCTCCTGTTTCAGAGAGCCTGTTTCCCCGGATGAGGCAGAGGACTACCTGGACATCATCGCCCAGCCCATGGATTTCCAGACTATGCTGGGAAAATTCAGCCAGGGCTCATATCGTCATGCCCAGGACTTCCTGGAAGACATGAAACTGGTCTTCTCCAACGCAGAGGAGTACAACCAGCAGGGCAGCACTGTACTCTCCTGTATGGTCAAGACCGAGCAAACCTTCACCGAGCTGCTCCAGAAGCTGCTGCCTGGGCTCAGCTACCTCCGCCGGCGCTCACGCAAACGCGTCTACCAAGCCCCTGCTTTATCATCATCTGAGGAGGAGGAAGATGAGGAGGAGGAGGATGAAGAAGAGCAGGAAGAGGAACCCAAAAAGAAGATGCAGAATGGTAGATCAAACAGGAAGAAAACCAGAAATGTCCGGGGGCAGAGGATGGATGACAGCGATAGTGAGGAGGAGGAGGAGGA